ACCAAAGGGATATTCTGTATCACTCTCTCACAAGCAGTAAAAGCTTGCTGGTGGGGACAGGCAGATACTGTTTTTCAAAGTAGCCACTGTTCAGGACTGGCTGGACATTGGTCAGCTTGTGGGAGGTGCTGAGCGATAGCTTTTGCATAGTGTTTTCTTTCCTTCACTTATTAAACTGTCTACCTTGGCTAACGAGTGGTTCCTGCTTTTACTCTTTTTATTCTCTCCCTGTCTCACTGAGGGGAAAGTGAGCAAACAGTTGTGCGGGTGCTTAGCCGTGAATTGACGCCCCAGCCAGCAACGTCTAAGCTGTAAAGTAATAATTTGTTTGTTATAAGGAGTAACAGCAGGGTTATCAGGTATCTCCGCTAGCTACAATTCCTGAAAGTACAGATTTATCACATTACAACACACCTCACAGTTATACGAGGTGCCCACTGTTACCTTTGTGGCCATGCACCACAATTTCAGTAACAGAAAAATAAGAGGCCTTTGCCTGTGAGGGATAAGGAAACATTCTACTTACATTGGGAAAGTTATCACTTCACAAAACAAAACTCTCAGTTACAAACTAGAGCAGCAAAAGGAAATCTATATGCATACTTAAGTACAGCACAATCATTAAGTGCTCACTTAATTCTCTCAGGCTTCAAAATCATGGCAATTAAACAAGTGCATTTTCAATACCCCACCATTCAGGAGACGTACTGAAGTTATCTGTCTGCAGGTTGATTTACATGCTGTATAACTTCTTTCTCACTAAGAAAAAATCTCATGAATGTCAATGACAAGTAAACACATTTCCCAAACTATGCAGTATGTTTTGCATTTCAAAACGAAAGCGTATGTAGACTCGCTCTTCAAAAATGGAACACGCTGCACCATTAAAAGGCTTTTCTAGACAAAAAGTTAAGAAAATAAGAAAACAGTTAACCTGCAACAGCTGCACGAATGTTTTCTTTGTCTTCATTCCAGTTTTCTTGGTCATTTATTCCAGCATTCTTCTTACCCAAGCCAACTACAGCCACACTTGGAAAGTCCTACGCAAAGCCAACACACAGAGATTCATTTTCCTCATTATTACAGCCACAGCATGGAGTTGTTACAGACTCCACTTTCCCAACCAAACACAGCATTAAAACACATTCAATACTTTCTCTACGTCACACAGCCGATTTCTGCATAAGAGCACCAGTATGGTACCACAATCTTGCACTCCTATTCATTTACCACAGGCAGCCAAACAGTTGTTCTGGTTGTCCATTTCACAATTTGTATTGCAGCAGATAGAGCTTTATGCTAAACAAATAGCAAAAGATATTTCTATCCTTCTAAGTGTACCCATTTTCACTCAGAAGTATGTTCAAGCTAATAAAATCTCTTCAAAGGTCAAAAAATCTCTTCAACCTCTTCTCAAGCCTAGAAGCTGAGCTGAGCTGGTGCGATTAGCCACATACCAAATCAAAGCTGAGCAGAGGTACACAGATCCAGATATTCAGGAAAGTAGCGTAGCACAGCAAACTACATTCCTACCTCAGAAACTGAAAGTAATGGGCAAAAAGGAAGAGATAGCAAAGATGAAAGGAGTCTTTTTAAGGACATAGTCAAATTTGTATAACCTTGAGTATGGCTTTATACAAGTGAATAAATTCCCACTGCTCTCAGGAGAAAATGAACTTAATCTTAGACTTTCCCTTACCCTTCCATCACAAATAGCTGCTCTGTCAGCTTTTTTTATTTACTTTTTTTTACACTATAAAGCCTCTTAGTCCACAAGATGGTGGAACTAACATAAACTTGCCAGATCAATGACTCAAGTTATCCTTTTTTAGCTATCGTTATTTTAAACACTAAGGAGAGGTCATTAGGCCAGATTCTACTACATCCTCTTGCAGAGATTTCCAACTCACTTTAGGTCATTCTGTAGGCAGAACTGGCATAACGGGACCTTCAGGGGACTCAATTTCCATGAAATTCATGACAACCTTTCTACTGAGTACATCACCTGTGTTCTCCACATAGGTATTTTTGCATGGTAGGCATTAATCACTACAAAATGATTTATTTAAAATCATTTACATAGCCCTAACATACCATGTAATTACATACACAAGAACACCTTGTGTCATATTGGAAGTCTGCCTAGCCTCTAGCTATCTGACCAAAAAGGTTCAAGTTGGAACCAGCCAGCTCCATCCAGACACATTAGATGAGTTACGACTTCTCAAATGGCAACAGAAGCCTAACTTTAAGCGGGTGAATCCCTATCTCGTACAACTGTGAAATATCATGTCTGTGCAGACAAGAGTTCTGCCTGAACAATGGCAGAGAGGGAAAAAAAGCGCAGAGCGTTGACACAAGCACAGCTGTGAACCAAGCTTAAGGTAAGACGCACGGGCAAGCCTCACTCATTAATAAATATACATCATGAAAATCCCACCATTCATACCTGGTGCAAACCATGGAACAGGTACGTTTTGCCTTTCTTCAAAGGTGGCCCACAACTACAACACAAGAAGGTTCTTTCAGTAAAGAAGCCTTAACCAAGGTAACAAGGCTTATGGTATACTACATTAACCCCACACTGAGCTTCTCAAGACTATGCTGGGACACTTGGCTCAGTGCTCACTCACAGAAAAGGGCTATCCCTACGAGTATTTTGCTTCTCTTTCCTTGATGCTTGGCTTCTGCCACAGGAATTTCCCTCCAAGCTGCTCATCCTGGCCTGAAAAGGGGTGTGGGTTCAAATGCCAGCAATGATCAGAAAGACAGCCCCATTCTTATTGGTGTTTCAGAGATACTTGAATCCATTTCAGGAAGGTAGCCAACACTTACACCGACAGAAGTTCTCTCAGCTTTCCCGACACGAGCCTATCGAAAGCATCTCCTGCACTAGTGAGCTGGGCAGCACCTCCATCCTGCTCACTCGAATAGGCTCCCAGTACAAGGCCCTAGGAAAGGATACACATTAATGTAAACAGCGTGAAGTTTAGAGACCTGACAGAGAAACAAGCACAGCGTTCAGATTGCTGCTGGTTTACGCGTGCATGTCGGCTCATGCACCCATCTGACGTGCAAGGCACAGAGCCACGTGCTGGTGGTACAGGATAAAACATTACAAAGGAGGCACAGCCCAACCAATCCCTTCACCTCCAGAACTCTTGCAATCTGTAATTTGAAGGCACAACAGATTTATTTTTTTCCCCTCTGAGCCCACCAAACGCGGCTCCTTCGCCTGGAGCCCCGGGGGCTGCGCACGGAGCCGCACCGCGCCCAGCCCCGGCTCCCCAAGGCCAAGGGGCAGGCGAAGGAGCCTGGCAGGACACTCGCACACCACTTTCCCCCTTCCTTCACCTCGCCCGATCCCCACACGGGCGAGAGGGGCCGTGAGGTGGCGGTCCCACAGCTCCCGCTGCCCCCTCACCTTCCCACCCGCCTCGCGGCTGTAGCCCCGGCCGGGGAGGATGCCCGGCCAGGCGGCGGGCGGCCACCCGCCGCACCCACGGCACCAACATGCCCGGAGCTCACAGCCCCAGAGCTCACAGCCCCGTTGCCTCACAACCCCAGAGCCCCGCAGCGGAGGCAGGCGGCTGTGCCGGCAGCCGACCCCGGCGCGCTGCTCGCCTCATCAGCAGGCGCCGAGCGGGGCGGTGCTGGAGGAAAGGGGAGGGGAGAAAATGGCGGCGCCTCCCCGTCGCCTCTTGAGGTGAGCGCCACTGGAGGCTGCGGGCTCGCACTGCTCAGAAAATCCTTCTCCACCCGAAATGATCAAATTTCCAAACAGTTTGTAAGCCCATAAGCGACACAGGGCCCGTGGTCTGCCCCCCGTTGTTAGCGCAAGGTGTGGGGAGCAGCGGGTGTTACGGCGGAGTTTTGCCCTCTTGTGGTGTGCTCCAGGTTAGCGTTCACACGTGCTGCTGAGGGCGAAACAACTTGTCTCGGAGGCTTACCGCAGCCTATAAAAACCAGACCTGATATCCATGCAGTGTATTTAACGTACGTGTGAAACACTGAAGTGTAAGTGGTGTATGAGAATTGAAAAAAAAAAAAATAATCTTTCAAATGCAGACACAACAAGTTTATGTTATTTCCCATATAGGGTGGTAGCTTACTTGTATAATATCCTCGCATTTAGGTTCTGAGTGAAAGTGATAATTTCCCAGAATAAAATTAAGAAAACATAGTAAGTGAAAATGAAAGACCAATGAGACTGACTGTGGCTGTGACAGGAAAATTCACACCAGACCAGAATTCATATCAGACCAGAATCATCAGTGTGATGTCAGAAGTAGATTTATGCTTTTCTAGCAAGAGCACTGCATGGAGAAAAAGTGTTTGGAGTTTACTGACGTGCGTGGTATCATCTGTGCAACAGCCAGAACAAACACGTCTAATTGAGGACAGCATCATCCAGAGACAGTAACTGAAGGAAATTGCATCCATTTTGATTTACCTTGTAAAATTACTTTTTTTGTTTGTTTGTTTTGTTTTTAATGTTAAATCGTAACTACTAAAAATCTCAAAGTGTTTTAGTAGTTAACCTCATTAATTTTGGAGTGACTCTTATGTACAAATAATAGTTTCTTTGCTCTTTGAAGAATGGCTCCATAACTTCTCTACCTCCTTCATGGAGCATCTGTATATTCTGCAAGTATTAATTAAATGGGTATTTCCAGTGCGTATTAAGTACTCTTCAATTTTATGGAAAAATAGGATTTTACCCATAATCTCTTTACATTTCTGAACAGATACACTACATAAATTATCTTGTTTGGGATTTCAAGTTTTCTAAAGTACCCACAAAGAAGCCTTCATTTCCACATGCTGATTATATTATTCATATGATTAGGTAGGTCTCTATATGAAGCATACCTAAAATGTTTTAATAAGGTAACTTTATATCCAGTTTATAACACTTGATATCAAGTTCCAGATATTCTGAAAGTATTTTATGATGTAACGGGGAAAGCTGCAAAGTGATAGAGTTAGCCACTGTTAATCTTTGTTTTAACACTGTATCACAAATAAGTAGCCTGTGCTTTCCCTTAAATTTAGTCCTAGAGATAGGGCTAAATCTTCTTTTTCAATGCAGTTTAATATTATTGTACGTCTTATATGACCCTCTGAAAAATGTCCAGCTAATTCCAAGAAGGTAATTGGCAAACATCCATCCTTTCTGTTTTAAAATAAGCCTATATTATGAAAGATTTATTACAAACATATTTTATTTCTAAACAAAAAAGATACTTGGTTTAGGTGAAATTGTATTATAACCTATGTTCTAAAATAGCTAAAATGTAGATTTTGTAAAAACTGTGAACTCTATAGGTCAGTTTTGAGAATAATATTTGTAGTATTTGTTGTTCCTACTTTCCCACACGTGCTAATTGCTGGTTTTGTAGACTGACCTTAAAAAAAGTACTGCAGATTTTTACAATTGGCATCTTTACTCATGTCTATACCAAAATTCTCCATCCAAAGCAAAAGCTGACAAGTCAAGAAGCTGTTTCTGTCATGATAGTTCACTTCACCAAAGTAGTCTTATGCAGATTTATTAGTACATGATATCTTCTGCTGTAACATTTGCTTCTTCTGTCTTAGTCTTTATTTTAGGGAAATGAATACCACTAATGGCTATTAGCAGCAAGTTCACTGCATGCGCTGTGGCACTTGCCACACAAAGCCAAAAACAGTCTTCAAACCTTTCTTCTAAGATAACAAATTGAAAGGCGTTTTCCCGAAAATTGGCAATTCTTTCTGTGAGGCGATGAAGTTTTACAGCAGCCATAAAGCCAGTGACTGCAAGTGCTATAAATCCACCTGCAACAAAAAGAAAGAAGTATTCACCATTGTTGTCAAAACAAGACATGCATTTTGGTTGTGCTTCAGAAGAACTTATTAAATACAAAAGCAGGTCTTAAACAGAATGTGACAGACTTAGACATGGCTTAAACACCTTCAGCATGCTTAGCCTTTAATGTATTGCCAAACAATATAATATTATAATAAATTTAAGTTTGTAATAAAGGCCTTTTATCAGTGATATGAACCATCAAGACTGGCATTTGCAGCTCCTGTAAAAAGTTGACTAGACACAATAAGCTGAAAAGCCATCTGACAGCTCTCTTTTGATAGTTGAGAATTCATTGGTAACTTCATTTTATTCACAACTATTTAAGTCAGGGAGATATCGAGTAAGGCAAGAAAAGAAGTTTTACAGTTAACATTTTCCTATGAACATGACTGGTGAAAAATACTGGTGAATGAACTTACCTGCAAGTAAATTCCAAAGGCATAGTCCTGCTGGACCCTTAATAGCCCGGTAAGGAACTTTTATTGCGTTAAGAATGCAGAATCCAAAACTGACCAGAGAAAAGCCCATGGCCACACAGAGGAACATTATAATCATCACATGCAGGCCTGTGTTCAGCTTTTTCACCATATGTGGGAAAACTGTCAAGAAAAAAAACAAACAACTATTCAATGTGTGAATGTTTTCATGTTTTCATGACAACAGTAAACATCACACTCTACTTATGCACCAAAGTCAAATTACATGTAAGCAAGACTATTTTTATAAAACAATCAATTCAGGTAGTTACACTCATGATGTTTTATTTCTCACTGCATACGACAAACTAGGGATACTCTACTACAGGAACAATCACTCACACAGGATCTGTAAATAAGGATGCAGGGTTAAGTACTCTGTTATTTATCTAGTTTTGTTCATGTATTTATCTCTGCTGCTGTATTGTCTGTTGCATTCTTTTCTGCCTCGTTTTCACCTCTGCTCTCTGCCCCAAACTTTTTTCCTTTGAGTTTCCCATTCCTGTTCCATGCTCTTAATCTCATGCCTTTGAAATCCAATAGTTCAGTTTCCTTGTCCAGCTCCTCTGAATTAGTGTTACATCTGCTTGATTTAGTTTCTTATATTATTCTTCTTTCTATCTCTTCCTCTCTTTAAAATGGGCTCCAGTGAGATCCACTCTGATCCACTTCCTATTTACTAATCTCACAGGTTTCCACTTTCAAATTCCCTTCCTGGTTTCTCATCAAGTGTTTATACCTCTTTTATGTATTTCTGGGTGTTGGACAGTATTTTAGTTAAACTCATAGAAAGGATGCAAAGTGCCGCAGTCAGGGCGGGTTTGGCATGAAGTATTCACAGGTTTTGTTATACACGAGCTCTTCTTCGGCAGCCTGCCTGTCTGTAAAGGACAGTGACTTTATTAACCTGTTTTTATCTTAACAGGCAGTTACTTCGTTGGAGGGCTACATCAGCCAGCAATAGGGAGATGCAGAACATGCAAGAACTCAGGTTATCCTGCAGCCCTTCAGTATCTAAATCAGAAGAAACATGAGGAGGGAATTGTAGACAATGTGCTGACTGACAGGAAAGAGAAAAGCTGATCAAGAAGGAACCTAAAACACAGGCCGATCGAGAAAAGCCCTTCAAATAATGCAGCACCACACATTCATACATATTTGGAAGGACTAACTGACTATTTATGTCACTAAAAACAAGGTACATCATATTATAAACAAATAGATCACTTCCTATGCTGCGTAAGTGAAAAAAATAATCCAAAGAAACCATATATAATGCAGGCAGAAATAACTGGTAGATGACACAGCAAATATCAAGGATATAATGTGGTCATCATGACATTACAGAATTCGAGTAGATTATTCAGAAAACTTAATACTGTACAAATTCCATACAAAAATCCATGATTCAACAGCTCTTCAGTAATTCATTCTGGGCTTATAATGAGGTATGGTATACACAGGAGCTACAGGAAAGACTCCAACAAGAAGAAAGGAGGGAAGTAGAAGAGGAATGGGAAGCCAGAAACTAGCTTACTTTCCCAGTGGAAAATAACTGCCTGTAAAAAAACAAAGCACATGGAATTTAGCTTTATTATAAACCAGAGTTTTCAGGGTGGTTCTAAAGATTCCTTTGTGTCTTTTCTGAGGCTCTCAGCCAGGTCCCAAAGACATGGGCAGCGAGCCTGTCTTAATACACAGAAATAAAAACCCCGAGGAAGGACATTGCCTTGGGGACTGCTGACACATTCCAGCTGTTTTTTGCTGTACACACAGACAAAATGTCTGACTTTCCCAGTTTGTTTGCAGGGCTTGATTCAGATGTCAAAATGTACGCATCTCATGCCAATTTAGATGGGCTAGGACTTCCAGTAACAACCATATGGATCTGACATAGATGACACTATGTATAGGAACACCTCCAAAAGGTGTTGGATTTAACAGCTTTGTAATACTGTTGTGATACCATTTTGATGCCAGTGTTGTGAAAGTTGCAACCCTTATAGAGCTATTAAAATACTTAAAAGGGAAAGTCTCAGGCACATTTGTTTACCTAAATGCATGGTTGTGTCCGCTGCATTTATTGACCCAATTTTACAGATCTAATTGGAAAAATTCTTGTTAGCTTCAGTGAGATCTTTGTCTGTCTAAGAAGAATACGATCACATCCTCCAGATATGTATTCATACAGTCAGTGGTGAGGGTGGAATGCTAGGCCTTCTTCTCAGATTACAGAGTAATTAATCAGAAAGTTTACTAACAAGGCTAGAATTCTCTTTGAATTCTAGAGGCTTCATTCTCAAGGCTTCTAGAATTCTCAAGGCTTCATTCTCTTTGACATTTATGGATGGGTTAAAGAACTGGAACTATATTTCTGGATACCTTGAAGAGAAGAAGCAGCAGCAGAGCAGGATGAATTTGACCCGTTTGCCAGCAATTTGGGCTATGGAAAAGCAGTTAGTCCAAATTCACAGTGTAACAACAGGTCACACTGATCTGTATTTCTTTGGTTCTCTTCACCACTCCTAAGACTGCAGTCCTGCCTGCTTTCAAGACTTCATAGCGGTGTCTGTGCAACTGTGTAGGGAGGCAGTATAGAGGGATGAGTTTATGGGAAATAAATAGATCTTTTGCAGGCTAATTTTCAGCAAGCTTAAGTCCCCGAACTTCCTCACCATACATCTATGCTAAGTACCACAGCCATTGCAAAGGACGAGCCAGCACTGCTGTGCAACAGGGGAGAGTTAGCTTCAACTTATATTGGTTTAAGTTGCTGCAGATCTGTCCACCAAACTAAACATCTTTGATGAAAAATATCATTTTCACTTCAGCACAGGATGTGTGAAAACTGGAAATCATCCAAAGTCAACATCTGACAGCTTTGGAGAGCTCAAGAAAATCTTTGACATTTCTACACTTTGTATGCATTCACCATTTTTTCTCTTTGAAGTTACCAGAAAAGAAAGTAAAATCTTCTTCAACAAAGTAAAAACTTCTTCAACATGTTAGTAAAGTTAGGAGTATCTACAATGGCAGACATCTGTTTTGGGACAGCTAGGGAAACACATAAACCTGGCTGGCTAAATAAATCTCTACTTCTTAAAGGAAAAAAAAAAAAAAAAAGAAAAAAAGAAAAAAGGGAGCAGTTTAACAAATATGGAAAAAATAGAGGTGCAGATATTGCGGAGCAACACTTGGCATGGAAAAGTTTCAGTCAAGGGAAAGTATGACTTACAGGGTCATCTCCAATGTACTTCCTCCTATAACTACCTGGGAAACAAGACTGAAAGGGAACCCTTTTCACTCCATTCACAAGAATAAAGGAATTCCTCTATCTAGCTCTAGGGATTTTTTTTTTCTTTGATTCCAAAATCACAAAACATAATCAGAGAGAAAACCTAGCCTGAAATAGCACTCAAATCCCAAACCATACAGACCACAAGTAAGCCACAATTATATCTTTAATAATAATGATTTGCTCTCGACAGGTTATGTAAACAAAATGAACAGAGTGCTTTTAAAGTTGAACTAGACATTTGACTAGAGAGTCAACTGAAATTGTACTTACTTGTGAATTTGGAACGACGCCCTCCCAGCCCACACTGGCGTATCTTGCCGCCCCTAAAAAGGCCATAGTAAATTTCTCCCATGAACTTGACCAGCTCTGGATCTGTGGCATTGACTAAATCAGCCCCTGTTTTGCAAAGCATCTTTCCAGTCATCCACCTTTGGGTCCCCATTGCGACGGCAATTACGATAAAAGACGCAAAACTTATTGTAGAAGCCAAGGCAAATAAAGTCTTTTTAAAACAGCCGGGCATCCTAGTGGCTTCAAGGAGTCATCTCCAAGGCCTCTCTTCAGTAATTAGGCACATTTCCCATTTTTCCTGTCGCTCTGAAATCCATGAACGAATAGCAAATATTTCAAAATACATCTCATTGTATTTCAAAGCTCCAGAAATTAAACTGTACAGTTAAAAATCAAGTCCAAAAAGATGTTTTGCTGCGACAGCATCCTGAAATGGTTGCGAACAACAGCTTCATTACCCTGTCATGCGGTGGTGCAGAAAGTAATCCTATATCTATTGCATGGCTAATGTTTCACCGGAGCTTTAATTGTCCTGCTCCAATGGCATCAAGTTCTTTACCATAACCACGTGGGATGAAAATTAGAAGCATTTTTCTAAAGATGATTAAAAACGTGGGTAAATATCTGCGAGGGACAAAGCTTTGCGAACGTGGAGTTTAGCAGCAGAATCCTGCTGACATCTCGGCTGCGTTAAGCTACCTCCTCCTGGTGCTTACTCTGTGCCTGTGTAAATGTCAGTGCTGTCAGAGCCACCAGGGCTGGCAATAACCCTCAGAGCGATGTCCCTCCATCCCTCGGCCTGCTAGCTGAGGTGTTTAAATGCTGTTCAGGAGGCTGTGGTTGCACACAGGGACCTGCTGCCTGCACAGGGCCCTCCGTGCAGGGTGGGGAGGCACAGGCAGGCAGCAGGGCCTGGAGCTGCGGGCTGTGGCGAGGGCAGTAATTCCACCTAGCAGCGATATCGAGCAGCACTAAAGAAAACTGGCAACAATTGCTCGCACTCCTACAGTTACAGCCCCTTACAGGCGCCCGCTAATTAACCATCCCCTGAGGGAACACAACCCGCGGAGGCTGAGATTAAAACCCAGCGGCTCCCCAGGGCTCAACCCCAGCTCGGAGGCTCCTCCTGCTCCCGGTGCGAGGCGGAGGCAGCCGCCAGCCCCCCCGGCCCCGGGGGCGGCCCCTGTGTGGCGTTGGAGCGAGGCGAGGCTGGGGCCGGGCCAGAGCCGGAGCCGGAGCAGGGGCTGGCAGCGAGCATGGCGGCGGCGGGCAGGGTGCTGGTGTACGGGGGCAGAGGGGCTCTGGGCTCGCAGTGCGTGCAGTACTTCAAGGCCAGGAACTGGGTGAGCGCCGGCAGGGCTGCTGCGGGCCCCGGGGCGGGTGGGCGAGACGGGGCTGCTTCGGAGGGGGGTAGTTAAAGGGGGCGAGAGCGAAGGGTGCCCCGCCGGGCGCTAACGGTGCCTTCTCGCCTCCTCAGTGGGTCGCCAGCATCGACCTGGCCGAGAACGAGGACGCCAACGCCAACGTGGTGGTGAGGACGACGGAGTCCTTCCCCGAGCAGGCCGAGCAGGTGGGAGCGCGTCGCGGGGTCGGGGGGAGGTCCCTCGGGGCGGGCGAAACCTCTCGGTCCGGGCTCCACTTTGCACCCACTCGCTATAAACCCTCTCTTTCAGAAGCTCTGAGACCCCCCAGCAGTGAGCAACCCACTGGTTTTGGTACCCTGCTGCTGTACCCTGAACTCAGGGGTGCCACCATTTGCCAGCCACTTCTTAATTCTTTTTATTTTTCACTTTCCTTTTAACTGCTTGGAGGCATGGATTTGCAGAAGAGCTTGATTTGCGAGTTTAGAAGTTACCCTATGTTGTCACTCAGAATGTGTTGCACTTGTGTATTATCTTCCTCTTTGTTACCTGAAGGGCTGCGGGCAGAATGAGATTACTTTAATCAAGGTGGATTAGGACATCTTGAAACGCAGCACTCCTTTCTCAAGTCCTGTCTGTGTTGTATAGCTGGATGGTGATGCTGAAAACATTTCCCAGTAGGGTTTACACTGTGACAGAAAATTGACAACCAACAAATTCATTACCAAGTGCAAAGTCTCATTTGAAAGAGAAAGAAATACTGGGTATTTAAAAGCCTACCTACTCAAATCCAAGGATGTGGTTCATAAGGAGGCTTTAGTTGTTTGTTTCTTGTGCTATCATCGGAAATGTCACAGAAGCAGTTCTGATCAGACCTGGAGTTTCATTTCCCATATTATTAAACAGCACAGTGTGCAGAAAAGAACCTGTCCAAAAGTAAGTCGCAAATGAAAAATGATGATATAGGTAAGGATCAGATCTTTCAGTCCTGCTCAAATCAGTTATTGCCAGTGACATCGCACACTGTGCAGTCTGACTTACATCTACAGTTAGCTTTCAACCCAATTATTGAATTGATAGATCATAAATGTTAATTTTGTGCAGCTATTTAAGTTGCTGTTGTTTGTTGTTTTTTGTTTTTCAGTTACATAGTTGAGTAATATTAAGGCATTCTTGATATTTACTCTTTTACCTTACAAATTCAATGTTTTCAGAATGTTTTGTTCTGTGTTTTGAAGGTGACAGCAGAGATTGGGAAGCTTCTTGGTGAAGAAAAGGTGGATGCGATCCTGTGTGTAGCAGGAGGATGGGCTGGAGGCAGTGCCAAAGCTAAATGTAAGCTGGTGCATGCTAGCAAATACATGATTGAAATCTGAGAGGAATCCTTAAAAATAGTGGTAAAAAAGGTCTTTGAGATCATCTTTTATCCTGAGTCCAGAAGAAGTTAGCCTAATAGTGCAAAGTAGCTCAGTCACAATGTTTGTGAGCACTCTTCTCAATTATCGGTGCCTGTTAAATTTCCAAAACTTGATGCACTATATAGAAGAGTTCAGCATTATCTGTGAACTAACTTTTGCCAAGGTTATGTGCGTCAGGCTTATTACATAAGATACTGGCTGAGTGGAACTTGATCTTTTTGCCCAAATCATTGCTTTATGCGTAAAACCTCAGTTGTCTGATGCAGTTCTGAGCTATTAGTATACAATACAGTGTTGGAAGGAGCTGTCTGATGACCAGAGGTTGTGCTAGAGGGGAAAAAAAAAATCCTCATTTCATAAAGCTTTTAAATGTATAATATTCAGGAAATTGTTTTATGCTTTATGTACTAGTGTAGAGACTTTTTTTTTTTTTTTTTAAAAAGAAGCCTTTCTGTCTGGACTAAATCTGTTAAAACGTGGTGTTTTCCTTCCCCTTCCTTGTTCAGACATCATATGCAAAATTTTCACTTTAAAGAGAGAATATGAGAAGACATGCACAGTTAAATCAGAGTGAATACTTTTTCATTATATTGGATTGTTATAAATTTCCACAGTAATTTGAATGAGGTGATAGATTATACCCTACTATCCTTCCAATAACATTCCTATGAATTAAGGTTATTTTGGGATCAAGTGATCAGCTTGATCAACTACTTGATTCAGCTCCTTTATCTCTTGGAGTCTTATATCCACAAGTTGAGCAGCCTGTGAGGAAATCATGGAAAGAGAGCTCATGCTGCTACAAGGTGAGGAGAAGCTAATGTAAGAATTTTTAGATCATTGACATAAATTGAAACAATCCCTACAGAAGTCTGAAGAGTTTGAAAATCTTTGAACTGAGCACAGTCATTAACAGAGAGCTAATGAAACTATCTGGTGTTTATTTATTTCTGATTGTAAGAAAGGAGCTAATTGTATAGAATATATGCTGTGAAGTTGGGATTCAAAGTCTAAAGAGAAGGGAGAGGTAAGAGATGTAAATGGGTATTTTACATGATACAGAAGTAGAAAAAGATAGAAAGCATGTTTTTATAGTACTTTGCATAGTACTGTTGCACTCTGTGATATCGTAGGTATCACATGGAAATCATAGGCAGAAGTCTTGTTCTTAAGTTACCTACCTAATTCTCTTCCTAATCAGCTTTGTACAAAAACTGTGATCTGATGTGGAAACAGAGTGTTTGGACATCCACTATTTCCAGTCACCTAGCCACAAAGCATCTGAAGGAAGGAGGTCTTCTGACTCTGACAGGAGCTCAAGCTGCTTTATCTGGAACTCCAGGTAAAATGCCATGCATGATAACTATTAGGACATGAGCAGTTCTAGCTATACCTTAGTCTGTTCATGAAAAAAAAACAGTTTATTGTCATCTAATAGAAATGGAAAATGGCTGCTGAAACGCTTAAGGCAAGTGTAATTTTACAGACGGCAATACTGAATCTCTTGAAACAGGAGTGCAAACAAAATCACTATTAAGTAATGCTTGACATGCATTCATGAAATATGCTTGGCTAATACGCAGTACAATAGAAAAAGTAACTTGGAAAATTTTGAAGAACTGTGAAGCACACATCAGTTAAGTATAGTACTTAAATGAAGTCAAATATCTTATTTGCGTTCTGAAAGGCAGAGTCCTTAGTTGCCCAGTTTTTCAATCAGTGATGACTCAGCTAATTTTATTAAACGTGCTTGTCCTGTTCATGTTCTGATTCCAGTCCACCTTTGCTTCAGACACAGATAAGCTTGTTGACTTTCAGCTTTGCCCTTCGGTAGCTATTTAGTACAAACTTTTTCCTGAGATTTTATTTTTTTCTCATCTCACTCCTAGGCATGTTGGTCTGCATGGAGAAAATCTGGGAACAATTTAAAATTAAAAAAACAGCAGCACAGAAGCCCACAGGCAGGGAAAGTTTTTGTTGAAACAAATGCTCTTATTTCTCAATCTTCTTCTAGTGTGAATTCAACAATATTTTGATGAGACATAGCTATTAATTTTTTTAAAAAATCATAAAATATTTGTGAATATTTGTGAAAGCCTTGTCTAAAATAGTTCAGGAGAAATACACTGTGTTCTCTAGTTAATGCAGCTGTAAATACAGTAGATAAATCATCTGGCCTAGTCTGAAGATAAAAGGCTTATTTTATGTGACTCAGCAGACGAATAATTTACTGTGTACTACTGACTGACAATATACAGATTAAAAAAAAAAAAAGGGAACTGTGGCAAACTTTCATGATGTTTTTTGTTTGGCTCATTTTGGGTTGTAGGGACCACAACACAGGAATCGGTGATTTGCTTTCATGTTTTGAACTGGCTGTTTTCAACAAGTCTGGAATTAAAAAAGAAAACACATAGCAGTGCTTTGGGCAAACACATGCAACTTGTTAACAT